GAAATCTGCACAGCTGTTCCTGCGAATTTGCTGGGTTTATGTTTGTGTTGGCGACGACAAAACAAAAAGTTATCCTACTTATAAGTGAATTGTAAGTTCGGTTACAAGAAGACATCATAAGTTAATAGTAACCCCACTTATAGGACTTATAACAGAGAGAAGCTTTTAGGTGAAGGGGGATTTCTTGAACGAGTTGATTGACCGTTGCTGTGCGAAGCAAGCCCGTTGGCTCATAAGGTGCCAACATTCCCTCTTGCGGATCCAAGATGCCAAACTCAAACTGGATCACCTGCTCTGACGACACGGCGGCAAGTGTTCCCATGAAGAAAGAATGAGTGGGACACAATGCTACGAAAATTACAAGTGTGTTAGAAGACGGCTGCGGAAAAGGTGCATTCATCGCAAGACAACTTAGTGCAACATGTGTTCTTGCTACAATCTGGACGCACGGCACGACTTCTTGTTTTTGTCTCGAAGAAGCGACGCTGTCGCTGGGTTTTGTGAGCCACGCCATCAGATCCTGACAGGAATGTCATGACACAACTTCTGAAGCCAGCTGGCTCAAGGCTGCCTTCCAAGCGACCTCGTCGAACCCGGCTGCGCCGCGCAGGAACGGAGTGTCCTCCGCGTTTGCATCCTGCAGGCCTTGCCAGAACTCCTCCAGGAGCACGAGAACCTTTTCTTCAGTACCGGACATGGTGGTTGCCTGCAGGCGGAGCTTCTACCGAACTCTGTAAGCCGGTGGGGAAGAGTTCAGCATGATGCGTAAGCTTGCAAGCCATGCACATGGTTGCTTGACCAGTATGCAGGGGTAGCTCGACAAGGTGTTTGCCCAGGCCCCACTCGCAGGCCTCTCGATTTCTGAGCAGGTAGCAAACGAACTCGGAAATCAGGTCAAGCCTCACATCGCAGACCGATTACTATTAGTATTAGTCTTATTATCAGTATTAGTATTATTAACATATTATTTTGTGGTTCCTGCGTTCAGAGTCATGCAGATATCTTGAGCATGCACACGTAGATGGCTCCTGGGTCCTATTCAAATGTCTGGGACTAGGTGCTTCACGACTTGCATGCACTGCACTTGATATCTGCTGCTCAGATGTGTCAGCACATGAACGAGCCGACGTGGTACCCAGGCTAGACTTATGTCGCGGCGGTGTTCAAGACGTCGCGGCACGGGCCCCGAAGTCAGTGCACAGACTGTATTTATCTAGGGAATCCCCAAGTACACGCTGTGTTGCAAGCCTGTTCGGCCGCGGCCTCAAAACAACAGAAATCAGGCCCACCACGCGCTGGCAAAACGCGAGCTTTTCGTAGGCCACAATATGCGAGAACTGTAGAACCCCCCTTCAGAAGCAGGAGCACGAAGGGTTTGAAAAGGGGCTTTCAACATTGCGAAGCACCCACGTGGCATTGAAACGAATGGAAACTGCAAGTAGACGCTGGGTTTCAACGTCAAATCTACGAGTGTGCAACCCCGGTGTGTACGCTGCAACAGCGACTGCAGACGACTCGCGGACGGACGATGTCTGCATGCCAGAGCTTCACACTCTGCAGGTTCCAAAAGCTCCAAGCTGTGCAAGCTTGGGAGTAGTCTTGGACGTGTTTTCGCCTTTCCACGACTTGAATCTACTGCACTCGGTATCTGCTAGCTGCTCATATGTTGCA